TTACTTGCATCCTTACATGGAGGAATGGTGCATGTTCCTGTTGCAAAATCTCCTTTGTTTTTCTTGTTGCTTTCTCTTTTATAGCCATTTCCTAAAGTTGCACTTTCACATTTTTAGAGTTTTGCTCTTTCCAAAACTACAAGACATCATATTATGATTATTAACTCCTATATCTCTCCAAAGTTCATTAGGTTTTTGTATCTCCCACAAGAAATACAAAATTGGCAGGACTAGTGCATGCATGAATTGTTTGACTGAACTTTCTGTTTATTAAGGAACAGTTATGTTGTGGAGCAGGACATCTGTGCACACGGCATCACTTTGATTGGGGCAGCTGCAATGGACGTTCAACCAACCGATGAACTAATGCTGAAGCATCTGGTATGCTCTGGACAGCTCAACTAATTATATTGTGCAAAATTAGCAGCTGGCGACTACTCCCTCTGTTCCTAAATACTCCATCTGTAAACTAATATAAAAGCGTTTAGATCACTAAAGTAGTAATCTAAATGCTCTTATATTAGTTTACGGAGGGAGTATAAGTCTTTGTAGAGATTTCACTATAGACCACATACGGATGTATATAGATGTATTTTAGAGTGTAGATTCACTCATTTTGCTCCGTATGTGGTTCATAGTGAATTCTCTCCAAAGACTTACATTTAAGAACGGAGGGAGTAGTGATTGCCACTTGGTGGCAGCATAGACCAGCGCGACAATAATATTCCAAAATTGATACTCTATACATGAGATTAAACCAATGTGAATGAGACCTGTTGCTGTTTTATAATTTCAGTTTGGTGCTGAGACCTTTGGATTGGATCAAACAAAAGCTGAAGCATTCTATATACCCACTCATAATGCCCACGTTAAACAAGTACAGGCGCATAGTGATTATGGTGCTGAATCAAGGAATTGTGCACTTGTTTTGCCAAGGTGGTGCCTTGCTTCTGGATAAGATCGATAGACAGTGTCAGCCTCATGAGTAAGCAGAATTTACAAAATATATATTTGAACACACGCACACGCACAAGTAGGTATGCGCGCATGCATACATTCTCCGCGCGCGGGGGGGCGGGGGGTCCATTTTGCATCCCTCTGCTATAATTTTATTATTCATATGCATCCATTTTGAACGATGCAATTTTATTCCGTATGCAATAAAGTGCGGGCTTTTCATAAAGAAAAATATCCCTTCTCTGGACTACAAATTAAGTTCCCAAGCAATGTTATGGATTTCGATTTGATTTTTTGCTCGGCAGTGCTAAGCGCAGGTCGACTGGCCCAAATTTTGGTAGGTTGGCGCACCGGAGGATGTATCGTGTGCAACGGGCCATCTGATGCTACGAGTGCACCAGCTCAATCTGAGCCGCCGGATGCACAATAGAGGGACCAGATTGCATAAACATATGGGCTGCTGGTACATTTTACACATTGCTTCTCAGAAATCGCCCATTTGCGCAAACGGTCATCCTCCAAGACATCGTCTCTTCCCTTGGCATCTCGTGTTCCTCTCTTGTACCTGAGCGTGCCAGGGCGATTCAGATCGTGAGTAGGGTTAGCGATTCCTCTCGCCGCCTCTCTCTCCCGCTCCCCTGGGTCGCCCGACTTTCTCCCCTCTCTCACAGTACCTAGTTCCGTTGCCGGTGAAGCACCAGCGCCCCTCCTCTTCTCTGAAACGGTCGTCCCCGGTGGAGCTTCCATTGCCGCCGGCGAGCCCAAGGGAGAAGGCCGTGCCGGATGGAGCTTCCATCACCCGCTCTCTTGGCCCACCCAAATTTCTCCCCTCTCTTCTGTACCTACTTCCGGCGCCTCTGAAGCACACACCCCTCCTCTGCTCTGCTCCAAAACTGTTGTCGTTGTCGCAGTATGGTTTAGTCGTGTGAGTAGAAACATGGAACAGCTTAGTATGATGCCAAATATTTGAGCAATAGTTCATGTATATGCCACAATGCACGTAAATTGAATCCATATATATGTGCTAGCAGCATACTAAGTACAGGTGGACTATTAGACACTTGATTTGATTAGGCAATTCTTCAGTTGACCCATAACATTTTCAGATCTGCCATACTTGACTTCTTTTTGAATTTCCTGTAACACATTATATTAGATTGCAGGAGTGAAGCAACGACAAGTATGGATAAGTTTTTTTATAGATGAGTAAGCTCAGGAATGTTACTGACATTCTCTACAACACAAAGTTTAATCTTACCCAGCCACGTTCTACTTGTAATTTTGGAGATCTCTCATGTTCCATATGCATCTGAAAATTGATGATTGTCGTGATTTTCATGTATCGTCTGCATGTCTAGCTACAGGCTCGTCTGCAAAAACATAGTTTGTCGTACAAGCTAGTGTTCTAGCTGCATCAAGTCGGTCTTTTTCAGATGATCAGGGGAGCTGCATGGTGCTCATTCATTTGGCTAAAGCAAAGAGATACTATTGTCTGAATGCTTCCATAGGAATGCACACTGATGTACGTGTAAGGAAATACGGAGCTTGAAAATGTCAAAATTGATAGCAGATGGCATTCATTTACGAATTGTCCAGAAACAAAGTTTTCCTTATGAAATATATTATCTCTCATGTTCTTACACAAAGTCCGAACCCTTTCGTGTACATGACAGTAAGGTTACTGACTATCTTTTAAATTTTGCACCCCACAAAAAAAATTAAATTTTGCAGAGTTTCTTCAGTACACATTCTAATTTGATTAAATTGCTACCAGACAGTTCAAGCCTTGATGGACTACTTAAACACAACACAATTAACATCCCGCCGCAGCATGTCAGGGAAAAGGCTGAAACTTAAATTATAATACAGAACACAAATATGCATCATGGTGAAAACTAGTCTTAACTTGAACTGGCTCATCAATTAGTCCTGAAGCAGAACATAAACTCTAAACCGGTTGTTCCTACAACAAAACATATATTTCTGCAACTTCCTGAGCATAAATTTTCTGGAGCATAACCAGTCTCTCGGGTCAAACAATATGGGATTATGCATGACACAGATCCACTTGAACCACAAAAAAACATTAAATTGTTCCATACATGGCCATAGTACATGGACAATTAAAAGAGCACACCCTGGATCCTGGAGCTGTAGAAGATGGCCGACTCCTTTGCAGTTGTTGCGTCAACGTCCCTCGGAACTATAGTGTAGCCGTGCTGCATTCACGCGCTCGCGGGTGGCAATGGAAACTCAACTAGGGACGACCATTTCAGAGCAGAGGATCGAGGGGCGCTGGTGCTTCGCCGGCAACGAAACTAGCTACTCCCTTCATCCCAAAATTCTTGTCTTAGATTTGTCTTGTATCTAGACAAATCTAAGACAAGAATTTTGGGACGGAGGGAGTACAACATAGAGGGTGCAGAAGGTTAGGCAGCCGAGGGGAGGGTACGAGAGATGTGATGATGTGAATCGCTAACCCTAGCTCGCGATCTGAATCACTCTGGCACTCTCAGGTACAGGAGACGGGAGGACAATGAAACAGACGTTGTCTTTGGGAAGAACCGTTACGCAAATGGATGATTTCTGAGGAGCGATATGTAAAATGTACCAGCAGCCCATATGTTTATGCAATCTGGTCCTCTATTGTGCATCAAGCGGCTCAGATTGAGCTGGTGCACCCGTTGCATCAGATAGCTCGTTGCACAGGATACATCCTCTGGAGTGCAGCCATCCATTTCAAGTCTCCCAGCCCGTTGAATCTTCCTCAATCATTTCAGGCACGAGCACCGCCAGCTTCCGCCATACCCCTCGCACGAGGCAGCCAAGCTCACAGCACCACCGGTTCGCCGCCCTCGCAACAACCTCCCATGCTAAAAAAATCGGTAGGTTGGCCCTCGCAACATCATCCCATCATTGTGGTTTCATTGCTATCGACTGCAGCAAAAATACTCTGTGCCACGGCTGCAATGCAACATTTTTCGTAGCCAGTTGCAGCAAAAAATGATACCGGCCACAGCTAAATTCATCACCCAAATGTCGCAAACAAAACCGACGGGTCTTTAATCGTCAGCCATCCCCTGCAGCCGCTGGTTGCAGACATATTGCATCCATTTTGAACAATGCAATATAACCTAGATTGATGTTGTGTTAATATGCTCCTTTTCCCACTAGGTGCCTGGGATGCACCGTAAGCATCCATGTATATGCACGAGGACATCCTGTTTGCACTTCCATTTTGAAATATTTGAAGTTCTAGGTTTATCCTAAAACAAATCTGTAGAAAGTATACTATTAACATCATCAACATCAAATTAGACACGTAAAACTAGTAAATTTGCATATAGAAGTTGACATCTTTACGATAGAAGCTCACTCTCACAAATGCAATGTTATACAATAAGCACCCAGAAAAATGCCACTATATCACACTATAACACCTACACACGCTGCAAAAACTGGAACGAGAATTACAAACCTGTCACACAAGACACAACAACGCATAGTCCAGAATAAAATTATTCAGCTCCAGAAATAACATACAAGAGCAACTTGCATTATTCAGCTCCAGAAGGATTTCAAGAAACAATCAGCAGCAGGATCCACGAGAAGTACTCCCTCCGTCCAGAAATACTTGGGAGTATAAAATGCATCACCCAAATCTGAACATCAGAACCTGAGAAATTAGGATCTAGTGCAGAAGATAAACGCCACAATATATCAAGCAAGCAATTCAAGGAATTCATAAAGGGCACGAGAAAACAAGCAATTCAAGCACAATATACAAAACCAACAGCAGATTAGCGCAAGCAGATTTATCTGAAGTTCACTTATTCATTACGCAACGATACTGCTGTGCCAGCAACAGTTTCAACCAACAGATAACACGGGGACTCGATAGTTCATTAAACCAACACAGCAGGACTGACACGAACGAGAAAACAGTTCAAATGAACGACAGGACGCCAGGACAATTACGGACCACCACACCACGGAGACGGAGCACCATGTGAAGGGTGGATCAAACGCCAGGGCAATTACTGACCACCACGGAGACGGAGCACCAGGTGAAGGGTGGACTCCTTCTGGATGTTGTAGTCTGCTAGGGTGCGACCATCCTCCAGCTGCTTGCCAGCAAAGATCAGGCGCTGCTGGTCCGGGGGAATGCCCTCCTTGTCCTGGATCTTGGCCTTGACATTGTCGATGGTGTCGGAGCTCTCAACCTCCAGAGTGATGGTCTTGCCAGTGAGGGTCTTCACGAAGATCTGCATGCCACCACGCAGGCGCAGCACCAGGTGGAGGGT